CTATACTCTACATGGACCCCTATCCTCCAGTAAAGCAGATGGCAATCAAGTCCTTCACAACATCACTCTCACATTCCTATTGATCCGCTTCATGTCCTGATTGCTCACCCTTGGACATAATCACTTATCATGTCAATCAGCACTAATTGGTCTGCGTTACACATGATCAAAGCATCTTAACTCAATTTTTTTTTTTTTTTTTATCTTCTCTTCTTTACCACCATTTCTAAAATAAAACTGCTGGATTCATTTCTCATTTTATATTTTCTAATTCCACCACTTATCCAATTTAAATCCTTGATTTTGGCTAAAAATCAATCCAAGTGTACCATGCCACAACACACAGTTCACATCATACATGTCTAAAAGAAAGTTTTATTTAAAACGTATGGAAGATGTGTTTAAAAATAATGAATTTGCATAAGACTTCTTGATATATTCTTAAACTCATGTCCAAACAAACCAAATGCATAAGCCCCTGAACTTGGTAACATAAATACTCTTTTAACTTTACTGAACAAAATCATATAACTAGCAGCTAGAGTATTATCAACTTATTTCCCAAGGGAAGGATTTCCTCGCCCAATAACTTTTCAACCTTCAGATGATATGCTGGTGAGATATAAGAAAATTGTTGACCAATAGAACTTTTAAGTACCTAAAATTTATAAACCTCAAAATAAACAAGTCCCTAAAACAGATCATCCACAGAAATGAATCCACTCACAGCGGAAATCAACAAAACATTAGAATTAATATTATTATCACACGGTAAGCTTACGTACGTAACTTGAAAAAGTATAAACTAGAGAGCACACAGATGATAAAATGTAACACAACACAATTTCTACAAAGAGGTTCACAAAAATCAAAGTTAACGAAGAAAGGAATAAATAGGGAAAACAACCTTAGGGCTTGAGCAATTTCTTTTTTCAAATCCTTGTCAGGGGGCAGCCTTCCTTTTAACACTCCTCTAATTCTATCCTTGTATTCATCAATTCTGGGATTAAAAAAAAATTATCTTCACAAAAAAGAATATTAGACACAATAAAACACAAAAAGGAAATCAGACGCTCTAAAAATGGAAAGAAAGAAAGAAAGCTTCGACTTGCATCTTTTTGTGTTTCTTTTTGTGGTTCTCCAACTCTGATTTCTTTAGAGAGAGTTTCACTCTGTCCTCAGAATCAGCAGCCATGATGTCTTTCTCGCGATTAAGAGATTTAATTTTTTGCTCTATGGTATATACTTCACTCTGTTTTTGGCGTATATTAGATTCGAATTCTCTTTCAGCCAGTTGGTTAGTCTTTCTCTCGACCTCAATACGCTACAAGGATGAAAATCAACATTAACCTCTACAATATTGTCAGTCAAGAGCACTAGAGTAATTTTCGGAAAGACAATTGAGAAGGGCCATCAATACCATGTTTTTTTCTCTCTCGTCAATGTGAGCAAGATTAACATTAGAAATTTGAAGCTCAAATGAATCACGCTCAATTTCCTTCTCTTCTATACGTTTCAAAATTCCACTCTGCATCGAATCACCGATTAGAAAATCCTACATATACCATGAAAGAATTTGCACAAGAAAAGATACATAATATATATCATCAAAGACAAACCTTGATCTCTACTTTAGCCTGTTTTTGAGCCTCAATATCTTTCCATCGGTCATTTGCACCCATGTAGCAATCCCATGCCACCTTAAGTTCTATCTCATTTGATTTCTAAAATAGAATTTCCCAGTCAATCTTCAACCCCAAAAGATATTGTGCTTATAAAACCCAATATGCAAATATACGATAACAGAGTATCAAGTGAACGATGCAATGAAACTTCACAAGGTGAAGAAAAATCAGATTGTACTCAGTTTTAGATAAACTCAGAAGACACTAGGAGAAAAAAACCATCTTTGTCCAAACAAATAGAGAAAGTTAAACTAACTAGTTACAAAATCCTTTCCTCGCAGATTAAAAACAAGTTATTAATAGCAAATCAATTCAATCAAGAGGGGGTATTTATTTTGAGAACTTAGTCAAGATAAAGATAGAACAAGCTGACTGCAGCATTTTCTAATGAACCTGTTAGAATAATATTGCGGATACTTTTCCTCGCACTCTCTCTAGTAGACACTAGTGGACTCTCTCTAATAAACACTGGTGGATAAGTTGGACATAAAAGTAAAATCATTCCACAAGGTGCAAGCATCAGGATAATCATGGTTAGAAAGATGATCAGTGCTCAGTAACACAGGAGAAGAGCGAAGGCATTTTCAGTGGACTAGACACTAGAAACCCTAAATGCCAACTTTGTTTTACCTGAAATTACCCCACCCAAACACACAATTTCTTTTTGGTAACCTATCTTGCTGGAGCAGAGGATCACAACAGAATTTATAGAGGGAATGCACAGCTGAACAAATGGTGCATCTGCTACAAAAGGACACTATCATTACAAAGCCACATGCTTGAAATAGCACACTTTCAGTGTTTGGCTATGAGGTATCTTTGTTAGGAATATTGCTATGAATCCTCTAGTAGCTAGATTAAAGGAATCTATATACATACTCACCATAAAGGTTTTGACAATATTTAAAAGAAAAGCAGTCATAGCTACGAGCCCAGATGTGACACATGTGCCTAGGCATCCTCTTAAGCCTTTGAACCCAATGTTCCTTTTTTTATCATAGGTTTGATGCCTACAAGCCTAGGTGTGAGTTGTGTGACGCCTAAGACTTTCTTTAGAATAGATTAAGAAGTATTACCACACTTGATTCATGGGGCATCATTTCTCCTCTTATCCCTCTTTCACCTAATTGTTTTCTTCACACCCTTAATTAAAGGGGATAGTATTTATTTTGCCAAAGTTTTGCTACATCCAAGAAGAAGAAGAAGGAAATAGAAACTAAACAAGCTAATCCATTGACGCCTTACATTAGCAAACCTTGAGCTGTCTGCAAACATCCCACTGCAAATTTAACCACTAATAATGCATCACCATCACATTTATGGTGCCCTTAGTATAGCAATGAACCTTTGGATATGCAATACTTTAATGTCTAAACTTTTTATTTTATTCATCCAAAAATCACTTCACATTTCCAACTTGAAATCTTAGTGCTAAAAATCGTTTACAACATCTAATTGACTGCAGTATTTCTGATACTGTCACTGAGCATTGTCGGAAACAAATGTTTTCTGAAAGCGCGGAAGTTGTTTTCTGGATTCTCTCTTCCCAACCATCTATCTTCGGAAAAAGAAGGCAAAAACGGAAGATATTTGTTAACAATGGGAGGAAAATATATTTGCAGATTGTATATACTTTTTTCTTAAAATTTTGCTCAAAACCATATGAACTCCATAAACCTTGAAAAGTTCATGTCTTTCTTTCTTGGCTTCCTTTTGGTCATCGACGTCTAAGGAGTTTGCAAATGTTCCTCTTTTTTGTAGTACTGCAAGTTGGACAGCTTCATGTGGAGTGTAGTATGGTCAATTTCCATTCTCATGCATGTATGTCGTTTGTTTTCACCTATTATTGGATCGGATGACTTGTCCACCTTTGATAGGGTTTGCAACTTTTCTTAGAGTTTGTTTATTACTAAAATTCACTGTTTCCTATCAAAAAAAATATGTCCTTGAAGCCAAAAAAAATATTCTCGAGGATATCCAAAACGGAAGAGAAGCCCACAGATTGTCAGACACAAAAAACCATGCTGACCAGCATGTATAAATATATTCAGACTGAATATCATTCATTAGGAGCAAACCTTGAAAAACAGAAGGTTCAAGGATCCTTAACCAAGTTCTAGGAATCCCATGAAAGTTCATAAATCGGTCCGAACTTCATTTTGAATCAATCAGAGGTAAAAGTCAAATAAACTCTTTGAACAAATTTTGTAGGTGGTGCTGTCTTCAGATCTTAAAACATTGATTTTAGTTTGCCAAAGAGCTCAAGCATTAGAATCAAAACGAGATTAGGTTTGGATTGACTAGGTTTCAATGTATGCCCAGAGAATAGGTTTAAGCAGGAACAATCAAGTTTTTTGTGATTGTTCCCATTGGGCTTGAGCCAGTAAAAATGGCTTAACCAAGAGAGAGAGAACCTCTTTTCTTTTATAAGGATCAACTATATCCATACTGATGTGAATTTCTACGCTTATCTCATCTGCTAGCTCGCCTTCTTCTTTAACTAATCTTTAGCATTCATCTTTCTATGAACGAACTGTGGCATTAACATGGGATTAACAAAGCATCAAGGGAGACCTTTCCTAGTGCTAATCTAATCACATTTCTTTCGCTCTTTTGGCTCTTGTGAGCACTTTTCTTTTTCAATTTATTTCGATCTGACTTATCCAGGTTCTAATTAATAAGTATATTGCCGGGTGGTGAGTCCGAGCGACGCAACCAGTAATTTTGTCTATGTTTTGTTTGTTGTTATTCACTTCGCATTGTATAAATGCTAGATCCCGAACAGCTCTCATGCCATATGGCACTTGCTATCCATATTTGGTTCAACCAAAAATTACCACCAGCAAATTCAGGATAACAACTACTCAAATTGTATTTAACTTCAGACATTTCATAAAACAAGGAGCAAAGATCTCGTATAAAAGGCCCTAATGAAATATGAAACATAGTCATGCTAAGTACATGATCAAGTCTAAGCAGCAAGGGTAATAAAATGCAACAAAGAAAATACAAGATAAGCTCTGGGAAATGAATATTTACAAGTGAAACAGGTACATATATCTAGTGAAAGCAACAGAGAGAGGAGGACCTTTTTATCTTGCAAGTCTTTGTCGAGATCCATCAATCTTGACTTCAGGCGATTTGTAAGGTTCAAAACAACTTCATTACTGAAGGGACAGTTTGGAAAAGACCCTAAATTGTGCCTCTCGAAAAGCTTTTGAATTGTTAGATCTCTTTCATTCTTCATGGAAATATGAGCCTAGGGCATAAAATAGAGAAGTCGATTAGTAACAAATGCCACAGCATTTGGGTGGAATACAAAAATCAACATGTATATATGTTCATAAATATTACTTCAGCCTCGGTTTGAAGCTTGCTGATCTCCCAGATACTCTCATTAATGGTCTGCTTTAGGAAAGAACCCTTTGTCTCTGTGTCATTCATTTCCCTCTCCAACTTGCTAATTCTAGATTCCAGAAGTGCAATCTTTTCTTCAAATTTGGCTTTCCATTCCTTCAGTTCTTCATCAGTGTCTACCCAATTTCAAAATTGCCAAACTAAGAATGTCAAAAAAAAATTAAAAAAATGGTGCACCAAGGATTTCAATGAAAACAGAATGTAGATAGTATATCATAAAAGTAAACTATGCAGAATCAATACCAGAAGACCATAACCACTTAAAAGAACAAGCAAAGAGATGAAAACATAATAATCATTTAAGATCTCGTCCTTTTTTTTAATTTATTGACTAACCTTCATTCTCCTCTGAGAGAGCTGCATACTGTTTCTGCTGCTCCTTGAACAAAGTGCTTCTTTCAGCAGTCTTGGTTGCAATCTGGTCCTGTAATTTCCGCAAATCCTTTAATGTTGCTTCAGTGTGATGGATTTTAGTATCCACATTTTGAATGTTTCTTTCTAGCTCTTCCATTTGACTTTTTAATGTTTCAGTTCTCTCCTGATCTTGAGCAATGCTTTCTCGAAGCTGTATCAACACAACCCCATAGGAATGAGAAAATATTCTTTGTATATTACCTCATCAAAACTTCCATGCTAGAATAGTTTCCACAAGTCCTTATCCACAATAAAATAAGTGGAACCATACATTAACATCTTGTTATTATCTGCAAATTACAACAAAGAACAGCATAGACAGCATTGCAACTGCCTATGATAGGCAAGTACATCACGACTTGTAAAGCCCCTCCCCCCCCCCCCATAAAAAAAAACAAAGGGAAGAGAGAGAGAGAGAGAGAGAGTGCATTATTGACGAAGCAGAAAGATGGGCTCAAGCGCAAAAATGAATGAAGCATAGAAGAGAAGGATGACTGGATGGTTAGTCACAGCCAGTAACAACAGAAGTGAAAGGCATGAATTTGAAGTTATATACACTTATCCAAAAAAAAAAAACCTTAAGAGGTATTTTTGCCCATAGAGGAATGTGATAACTACTGAAACTGTAGCCATTCTGACTGACACAAGATTAACTGAGTTTGTCGAGTAGGGTTGTATGAACTGCCTTCATGATCCGATGGATTTTCTCCAGCTTGTAAACAGACATAATTGAACCTATGGGTTTTATTTGTGGCCTTGACTACATCGATTTAGTTTGACAAGTCAGTTTCAACATATTCCAGCTCAGTGTCCAAGTCTAACAAGAATAGGAAGACAACCTGCATACATCTCTACAAACTATTCAGAGTAACGTAAATCCATTAAGGAACCTACCAACAATTACTAGACTCTTGAAGGTTAATGTGATGCAACACAACACCTAACCCCAGGTGTGCCACTATAGGAATTTAATTGGCTATGAAATTCTTCATCTCCTCCTATACCTTTGGTATAATAATCTTCAACTCAAAAGTACCTAATACCATCACCACCAACCCCATATTTACAACCTAATTCCCCACTTCTAGAAGCTGTAACTCTTTCTATCCTTTTAGACATTTACTTGATCACCTGGAAGGCACCACTGCACAAGCTTTTTGGAAGCAATCACAAAAAGCAAGAACAGTTACGTGCTTTCTCATGATTTTTTAACATGCCAGTTAATGATTTTTAATTTTGCTGCAAAGAAGTTACTCTTTCGTTGAAATAGAGAGCACACATACGCATGATGTCAGTGGCAATCCCAAACATAATAGTCTTGGAGGCAGACCTGATTGTGGTAAAGGCAGCAGTGACAATGTGGTAGCAAGGAACAGGTCTTTGAAGGAAATGATGGTGGTTGACACTTTGTTCAAGAAATGGCAGTGGCAATATTAGCAACGTTTCCCATCACAGCGGAAGCAGCAATGGTTGTAGGATGATAGAAAAATATATTGTGCAAAAAATCCAGAGTTTTGTCAGAGTGATAAAAATTTAGTACCCGTCATGATAGCACATATAATGTGTCTATTAGCCACAGCACCAATTCCATTGGCAATGTAGGTGGTGGGGGAGATGTTCATGCTATAATAGGGGTTTATTGGATGAGGAGGATCGTGATGGTGATGACAGCGAAAGGATATGAAGGCTAAGTTAAATTATGACAATAAAAGCATTTTGCATCAACTCAAAGATATTCTGAGATTGTTTTGTTGCTATCACATTACATTTAAGGTCATTGCCGCATATCACCCTTTGTGAAGTTATCACTTTTTTGGGGATTTTATATACTAAAAGGTGAGCATGCATGAATATAGAATAAATATAAACAAAAACAACCCAAATGATAATTTGTGGTGCAAACTGATGGCACCAAACTAAATAAGGACCTTCGTCACTGTGTAATCAAATAATGATACTCCAATGGACATTGTTGATCGAAAAGAGAGAGAAAGAGAGAGAGGGAAATAAATTGAAATGCCAATGAATCTAGGGTTTTGTCATAGTGATGACAATTTATTACTCATTGTGATAGCAGCACACATGTTAGTGGCAATGTCAGGCATAGAACTCTGGCATTGTAGGTGGGGGCTGAGACATAGTAATCATGAGATAGAGGTGGTTTGGTGGATGTCGATGCTGGTGATGACATGGATTGGATATGAAAGAGAAAGCTATACTATGATCATAAAGCACGTTGCATCTGATAGGGTTATATGCTAAAAACTTATTTCTTGTAGTAAAACTCGTTTTATTAATTAATAGAAGTTTGCATTATATTTGATATATGGTATGCATGTATATCTTATATTTTACATTATAAATAATCTAATGTGTAGAGTTCAACATATGCACAGGAGACCAGATTATCGAATCCTTGTATAATATGAATATAGATTCACAATCTTAGATTGAATTGGATACACCATCAGTATAATTATAGTGTAATATTCTAGCATAGTCTGACTTGACTGTAAGAGACTGTTTGATGCCTCGGATAATTGCACTAGTACACTTCCTATATTGAACAGACCCATGTTGAGGTTATTATCTTTTACTTATTGAATAAGATAATAAATACCTCATGATCTATGAAATACGGATACTTCGTTGAGATTGACGTACCCGTATCTAATACCGTATCGGATACGATATTCGTCAAATACTCGAAGATACGTATCGGATATACCTTCTACGCATCCGACAATAATTAAATATTATGTACTTCACGGATACTTTTGTGATCGACCAATATATATAATTTTTGAGTTGAATTTTTAACATTTCTTTTCGAATTCACATATCATACAATACATTAACAAAAAATTCATATTACTCTGAAGGCACATGAGTGTTTCTTAAGTATTATCTACAATTACATGTTAAAAGAGTATAAAATAAAGTTATTACATTATTATCTTAGCAAAAATTACTTTTAAATACTAGCATAGTTATCAAATCGTGTATCGGAAGGCGTATCGTAAGATACAAATATTGTATCGTATCGTGTATCGTATCGTGTATCGTAAGATACGATGCAATTTTAAATAAATAATAAAAAAATATATATACCTTTGAAAAAAAGTCATACACTCATAAAAAATATAGCATTTCATTAATACTCCACCAACTATTCAAGTTATCAACATAATCCACTACTATTATAATGCAAAGTTCACAACCATAGTTCACTAATTCAAACTTTAAACACCAAAGAGACTTCTAATCCAAATTTCTAACATCCATTTTGAACTCAATCTTCAATTTCAATTGAAAATGCATCATCATCATCATCATTGTGATCGGATGCCAACAAGTCTTCACTTGTCGTTTTTTTTAAAAAAAAATCAGAGCACAAAACGACGTCGTTTTTAAAAAAAAAAAAAAAAAAAAAAAATTGCACGTATCGTGCGTATCGTACCGATACGTATCGTATCGTAAAAACGTATCGTGTATCGGACGATACAACGCAAAAACGATACATAACTACGATCCGTATCGTTTTAGGGCTGTATCGTAACGTATCGTACGATACGTATCGCGTATCGTACGATACTAACAACTTTGAATACTAGGTAAATATTAGCTTTGATTCTTTTAATTACTCACTTCACTTTGTGAATATACTACAGCGATACGATATATATTTTCTTGAAACTAAAAAAAATTACTAATTTTTCTTATTATATATTAAAGAACTATCAAAATATATTAGTATTAAGCTGGTTGAAAATAATAAAAATATTAAAAATATTTTATTATAGTCGTATCTTGGCCGTACCCGTATCCTACTTTTTTAGATTTTGTCGTATCGTCGTATCCGTATCGTATCGTACCCGTATTCCTTATCTGTATCCGTGCTTCATAGCTCATGATTATTATGATTGTTTATACTCTTAATCTCGAGATATTTAACTATCACGTGCATATAATGATTGTCACTTTAATTCATCAAAGTGTAAAATCCATAGAGTCAATAAGTTCAGTGAATTGTGAGACGATATTATTTGTATGATGAAAATTAATTATTAAAGGAAACCACGTCCTGATATTTAAATGGGTTGATGATGTCCTCTTGAAGAAACTCAGAAGTTTTGTCCATATCAAACCTTGCAGGTGAATTTAATTATCTGACATGACAAATAAGTTGAGTGGTAAGGTCTCAAGGAATAAAATAAACCAATTAAATATAATTATCAATAATTTATTTAATGAATGGACATCTGTAATTTTAAACGTTAAACGATTATTAAGCATATAATAATAAGGAGCTCGAAACATAATTTTGAAATAAGCCTCAGGAGATCAATAATAAGTTTTTAGTGGACTGACTTATTATTAATAGACTGTAAGATGTTTGTTCTAGGTTGAACATAGAAATCTTAAGCCCATTGGAAGCCCGACGCTTATTTCTCCTTAGGGTTTCTATCATAGTCTATATATATACGTCTAGACTCTCTAAATCAGCATCACCTTGATTACTCACATTTTAAGGGAAGCTGAGATAGAAAACAGAAGTTTGGAGGTCCTTGCAGTCCACACTGCATCCGGATTTTGGTGTTGGGAGATATACGATAGAAGATCCTGAGATTCTTCCAGCGTCTGTCTTTAGAATCTATGTTTGTGCTGAGACGAGATCAATCCAAAGTGATCTTGAAAGTAAACCCTAGGTCCACCTTGTAGGGTTTTAATGAAAAAAAATTTATATTCGATATATACGCACTATCAATGATTCTTGGGATTTCCATTCCAACAACATCAACTCAGAAAACGGAGAGCTTATTTTGCTATTCTCATATTGCATTTTAGGTCCTCGTCAAATATCAGCCTTAGTTCATTCTTCCTTTTCTGGATCTTTTTCAATTATCCAAGAGGTGAACATAAATAAATATGAAATGACGAAAAAAAAAATTGGTGCCTAAATAAATAAGAATCTTCATCACTCTGAAAATCAACTAATGAAACTCCAATTAACCTTGTCTATTAAAGAACAAAGAGAAAAAAAAAATAGACAGATAAAGATAGAGTTAGGAATAAAGTGAAAATTCAATAAACTCATTACCCCAAGGGAGGGACTACATGAATTATAGCTCCCAAAAGGCACAAATCCCCTTTGAAAATCTTCTATTAATGAAACCAACACCATATTGATAACCTCCAACACCTCATTATTTCTTCCATAGACAAAGTATTGCCTCCTCCTAATCATACCTCAGACTTCCAGGGTGTGTTTGGCAAATCATGGATGGATTGGATTGGCTTGGATTTAAAACCCAAACCAATCCAATGAAATCCCAATAGGCCGGATATATGGGGGGATAAAAGGAAATTGTGTTATCCAATCCTTGCTTTGGATAGTGCATTAAGAATGAGTTGAGATATGGACAAACTACAATTTTTTATTAAATATCTAATACCTTTGACATTGATTGACTATTTTACCCTTGAATTCTATCCAATTCTATCTCATATTTGGCTTGACAATTGTTGGATACCACTTTTGAAATAATTATTTTTTTAGTTTTTGATCATTGTTGATTACCAATTTAATAATGTGAAAAATATAAGAATGCTTATGTATTCACCAAATACATGTTATTACACGTTGATTTTATAATACAAAATTATAAGTCGCTCACAAATGTATATCATCCGTCAAAGATTTTAACAAAGTACCAACAAATAATGCCAGAATATACAAACAACTACGGCACAACCCAAATGCACATAAACTATAGTAGAAATTAGCCGTTATTTATTTGTAAAAATTAAAAGACGATAAAATTAATTTCAAGCACCAGAAAAAATACAAGAAGGCATTATAGGACTAGCTATATAAAAACCTCATTCAAAACAAGTAAAAAAGAACAAAACATGTGTTAATAAGAAAAATTATATGCAACATACGCATTCAGTCAAGTCGTGTGATCCAACATAGTAAGTTCATGAGCATTTTTTTTTTAGTCTACCAAGTGGCAGGATTTTTTTTTTTTAAATGTTTTCATCTAGTGTCACAAAGACTGAATATATATCTCTCAATCTCCATATATCCTGTATGTCTATGACATGCAAAAAAACAAAATCCTGCAAAAAAAGGAAGAAAAAAGATAGAACACAATGACAAGCAAACTCCGAGTGGGACTGCATGGGCAACAAAGCAGTAGCAAAAGCAATTATGCATACAAAAGATTTACACTACTCAGTAAGCAAAAAATAGATAGAGACACGTTTATCACACATATTAGTATGTATGTAATCTACTGACTATGGAAATGGGACTGCAGAAGCACTAGTCCAAAGATTCAACTAATTCTTTTTCATTTCAGTATATATGCTACGATTGGAATGTAACTGGTTGAAAAATAAAAATATATCATACCTGTTCTACATTTTCATTTCAGTATATAAGTAGTTTCAAAAAAAAAAAAATCATGCCAAAAATTTTGTTTCTTGTAAGCCATGGAAAGGTCCTTCGTGGAGTATGGGAAAAAACTAAAACAAGAAGAAA